GGCAGGTGGATCTCTGTGATTGAGGCCAGGCTGGTCTACAGAGTGAGTTCCCGGACAGCTTCCATTTAACCGTATGTGTACAATTGCATGTGAGTCGAAACTAGCTTCATAGATTGACAGCACATTAACTCAGCTGGGTAAGGCAACTTTGGGGAGCAGATGAAAGCCCTCCACAAGCTGTCCAATCTTTCATCACAGGGTGTTTGATTTTTGCAAGGCTCCCTTGCAAATGGAAAAGCAGGACTTCAAAGAACAGAGCAGCCTCAGGCTCCTGGAACGGGGGTTCTGCAGAAATGCTGCCTTTCCCCTTGATCTTTTGCCTGAGGTTTGAGGTAGGTAATTCTCTGGCTTGGACCGTTAGATACATCTCAGCCTAGCCAGGCTTTGCAGACAGATGTGTTTGAAGCTCCTTTTCCCACAGCCATGAGGTTTGTTTGTAGTTCACCTCCGGTCCCATTTCTCGCACTGCCCTGATCACTATCCCCGATGACTATCTCAGAAGCCTTACCTACCCTTTGCCAGTCAGATAGAAGCATCATCTCTGTGGCATAGGTTTCATCAAGCAAAACCTAAACTGTGTACACTATATAATAAAGAGGCCAATGAAGGTGCAGGCTGTCTCCTTATTGCATCTTAAATTCTTTTTCTTTCACCATAGACTTTGAAGACTATATTGTTCTTGGCCACAAATAATCTGCTTACTTGTGTGGGTATTGTTTTGTTTTGCTTTGCTCCATTTTTTTACAGAATTAATCTTATTTTATGTAATAAGGGTTTTGCTGTGTGTATATATGTGCACCACATGTATGTAGTGCCGTTGGAGGTCAGGAGAGGACATCAGATCCTCTGGAATTGGAAGAGTAGCAGGTACTCTTAACTTCTAAACCATCTCTCCAGCCCAGAGCTTAGCCTTAAAAAAAAATCCAGGGAGTACTGGTACAAACCTTTAATCCCAGCACTCAGGAGGCAGAGGCAAACAGATTTCCTGAGTTTGTGACCAGCCTGGTCTATAAAGTGAGTTCTGGGACTCTGTATCAAAAAAAAAAAAAAAAAAAGGAAGAAAGAAAGGAAAGAAAGAGAAAAGAAAAAATGCAATATAATTGAAGCACAAGATAAGGATTTCAAAGCAGCAAGTAAAATGTGTTCAAGGACCTTACAGTATATGAATAAATCCCTTAATGAAGGCAATGAAAATACAAAGAAAGCCGGGCATTGGTGGCGCACGCCTTAAATCCTAGCACTCGGGAGGCAGAGGCAGGTGGATGTCTGTGAGTTTCAGGACAGCCTCCAAAACAATACAGAGAAACCCTGTCTCGTAAAACCAAAATAAATAAATAAAAGAATAGAAATAGAATTACTAGCCAGGCGTTGGTGGCGCACGCCTTTAATCCCAGCACTCGGGAGGCAGAGGCAGGCGGATCTCTGTGAGTTCGAGACCAGCCTGGACTACCAAGCGAGTTCCAGGACAGCCTCCAAAGCCACAGAGAAACCCTGTCTCGAAAAAAAAAAACCAAAAAAAAAAAAATAGAATCACTAAAAAAAAAACCCAAAATACGGGCTGGAGAGTTGGCTCAGTGGTTAAGAGCACTGTCTGCTCTTCCTAAGGTCATGAGTTCAGTTTCAAGCAAGTGGCTTACAACCATCTAAAAATGAGATCTGGCGCCCTCTTCAGGCATGCTGGCAAACATGTAGTAGAACACTGTATATGTAACAAATAAAATCTTAAAAAAAAAAGAAAACCCAAAATGCAATAAAACTAGAAATGAACATTTCAGAGATCAGTGCCTCATCCCGTCATTATCAGAGAAGCTTCTTGCAGCAGATGGAAACCACAACTGTAAAATGCGCAGAAATTGAGATACTTTAGAGCAGTCACTGCTAAAGAAGACATCAGGATCTAACCAAGAGAAGAGGCAGAAAGGCTGTAGGATACAGAGAAACCCTGTCTCAAAAAACGGAGTGTGTGTGTGTGTTCGTATGTGAAGGTTTATTTTATTGAGGATCTCACTTTCTAGCTCTGACTGGCCTGGAGCTCACAATATACACCAGGCTGGCCTCCGACTCAAAAAGATCCACTTTCATCTGCCTCCTGAGTGCTGAGGTTAAAGGTGTGCGCCACAGTGTTACAGTGCCCTGCCTCATCATTCCACCTTTAAGAGGGAAAAGTAACATTTTCACTTCCTGTTAACTCAGCTGAAGAACACGAGGCTAAGAACACTAGCTGGTCTTCTCTGAGGTCCTGAGTTCAATTCCCAGCAATCACATGGTGGCTCACAACCATCTATAATGAGATCTGAGATCTGGTGCCCCCTTCTGGCCTGCAGGGATACATGCAGGCAGAACACTGTATCCATTAAAAAAACAAAAGGCTTTCTGCCAGTCCATAATGGTGCTTGCCTTTAATCCCAGCACTTAGGAGGAAGAGGCAGAGGGAATCTCTGAGTTCAAGGCCACACTGGTCTACAGAGCAAGTTTAAGGACAGTCAGGGTTACACAGAGAAACCATATCTCCCCCCCCCCAAAAAAAAGACCTTCCTACAAATATGACAGGAAGTGGCAATTGCCTTTCAGCCTGCATTGGAAGGGGACAGGAGTATGGAGTACTATGTAGGGCAGGGGAATAGGGTAGGGAAAGGAGAGCAGGAGCTAAGGTGTAACTCAGTAGGCAGGGTGCTTGCCTATCTTGCACCAAGCACTGAGTTTGGTGCTGAGCAATACATAAACAAGAGAGAGTGGTGTGTGCTTGTGATCCTGGTTCTGTTCAAGAAGAGGAGTTCAAGGTCATCCTCGGCTGCATAGTAAGGCTCACATAACAATGTCCAATAGTAAAACCAGGAATCAGGTTATGCATTGACATATCTTCTAATTTTTAGGAGAATGCCAACAAAAATGTTATTTGAAGCTGCCAAGTGTTATTTTTTTTTTTGGCTTTTGTTTGTTTGTTTTGATTTTTCAAGACAGGGTTTCTCTGTATAACAGCTCTGGCTGTCCTGGAACTCACTCCGTAGACCAGGCTGGCCTTGAACTCAGAGATCTGCCTGCCTCTGCCTCCTGAGTGCTGAGACTAAAAGCATGTGCTACCATCGCCCCACTGCCAAGGTGTTATTTAAACTTTTATTATGATTTGTGTGTGAGAGTGGGGTGAGGGCAGGCGGGAAGGGAGACAGACGTTGGGTGCATCCATGCCATGGAGCGAGTGTGGAGGTCAAAGGAGACCCACCACAGGGCTGGGATCAAACGCAGGCGGCCAGGCTACTGCAACAAGAGTTCTCCAACTTCCTACTGCTGCAGTCCCTTAACACGGCTCCTCACGTGGTGCTGACCCCAAACATCATTTCGTTCCTACTTCACAACTGTAATTTGCTACCGTTATGAATCATAATGTAAGTATCTGGTACGCAGAGGGTTTAAATATCTGATAGGCTGTTTCTGTGAACCGGTTGTCTGCGACCCACGGGTTGAGAACCACTGTCGATCTTGCTGGCTCGGTTTCCAATTTTTTAAAAATCTTTTTTCAAGATTTACCTATTTGTTTATTATGTATATAATGTTCTGTCTGCATGCATGCCTGAAGGCCAGAAAAGGGCACCAGATCTCATTACAGATGACTGTGAGCCGCCGTGTGGTTGCTGGGTACTGAACTCAGGACCTCTGCAAGAGAAGCCAGTGCTCCCAACCTCCGAGCCATCTCTCCAGCTCTAAATTTTTTAAGGTTTATTTAATTCTTTATGTGCACTGGTGTTTTGCATAAGAGTGTGTCTGAGGGTGAGAGATTATTCTGGAGTTAAGAGACAGTTGTGAGCTGCCATGTGGATGCTGGGAATCAAAACCAGGTCCTCAGAGTCATCTCTCCAGCCCCATCAGCGGTCGAATTTTAAATGCTGACAACCAGTTCAAATTTCTCTAATATTCTGAAAAGGCTGACCGGTCAAGGCAAAGAGAGATGGAAAGACGAGGCAGCTTGTTGGATCTAGATTCATACCCAACCTAGAAAAACTCCTGGCGGAAAGACCGGCTCCAAGAAGTTGCCCCCAAATTACAAACATGGGGTAGAACAGGACTAAAACCCATGTCCTTGGAGTCCCACAAGACAATGATACAGGTATTTATTTTCTTGGCCTTTCAAGTGTTTTATTTATGAATTGACCAAATGCAAATGACGTGTGTGTGTGTGTGTGTACTTGGGTCAGGTTCAGGCCCGTGTTTGGTAGGGCTTTCAAGGGTGAAAAATAGCTCTGAGCTAATTTGTCTACTGAAGGACCACTCTTTTTTTTTTGGTTTTTTTCGAGACAGGGTTTCTCTGTGGCTTTGGAGGCTGTCCTGGAACTCACTTTGTAGACCAGGCTGGCTTCGAACTCACAGAGATCCGCCTGCCTCTGCCTCCCAAGTGCTGGGATTAAAGGTGTGCGCCACCAACGCCCGGCCTGAAGGACCACTCTTGTATAATTACATGAAATTAAAATTCCTTGTTAAATGATCTCCGTGGGGGAAAGAGAACCCTGACAAAGCGAAATCTAATATATTAGAAGATATTAACGCCTGCTTCGTGGAGATATCTTCAAATCATTGTGCGTTTTGTGGAAAATCTTTTTCTGTGAGCGCGTGTTCATTGATTCAAAACACACATCAAGAGTAGGTTGGTTTCTTCATTTTCCTTTCCGATTGGCTGGAGAGCATCTTATGATGATTGGCTAAAGTATCTGCCAGTCGTCCTTCCGGATCTTCGATAGGAAGAATTGGAAGAAGGGAAGCAGCCTGAACTCTGCTTTTTTATTGACTCCTGTAGCAACACCGCTTAGTGCGTAGCAATCCTGACTTATGATTGGCTTATCTACCCGCCAGTCAAACCGCCGTAAACCAGTGCTCTCTGTATCCTTTGCCTTCCTTGCCTGATAGGCTGTGTTGTGCAGGTTCCGCGATCTCTGATTGGTCTGACGCTCTACAGAGCCCGGTCTGCCCGCTCTCTGTTGCCGTGGTTGCAGGCCCCGCCCACCCGCCCGCTCTCTCGCTCGCTCGCTCGCTGACAGCGAGGCTCCTCCGGGAGGGAAACGGGTCCGTTGGTCGGTCCGGAACGAGGCTGGCGCTGCCAGGCCCACGCCTAGCCGTTGCCATGGCAGCCACCGGCGGGGTCGCGGATGACGAGTCCCGATCGGGCCGCTCGAGCTCCGACGGCGAGTGCGCGGTGGCGCCGGAGCCGCTGGCGGAAGCCGGAGGCCTGTTCTCCTTCGCGGACCTAGGCGCTGCGCTGGGCGGCGGCGCAGGCCTCCCGGGCCGGGCAGCCGGCAGGGCCCAGTCCCCGCTGCGCTACCTGCAGGTCCTGTGGCAGCAGGACGCCGAGCCCCGCGATGAACTGCGCTGCAAGATCCCCGCCGGGCGGCTGAGGCGCGCCGCTAGGCCCCACCGCCGGCTCGGGCCCACGGGCAAGGAGGTGCACGGTGAGCTCAACCAGGGATCCTGGGGTCGCTTGGGAGCGATCGCCGTGGTTAAAGCTTGTTGGGGACCGTGACTTCGGCCACTTGGACGTCACTGAATAAAAACTCTCCACTCTCGAGAGCGGTTGTTAGTAGACGACAATGTGGGACAATGGGGAATATTTACGTTGTTAGAGAAGGGAGCCTCCCCCAGAGCCTGTGGCCAAGCTGTACCAACTTGTGTGAAGAATGCACAGATCTGAACCAGACTGCCCCACACTTGGCCCTTACGCAACCTACAGACGCGTGTGGCCTCGGTTTTCTGTTTGTAGAATGGGTACACCACCAGCTTTCCTCGGGTGTTAAGAGTTCGGTAAGGTTCTGATCTTTGTGATGGACCAAACACTTGTTTGATAAACAACCTTTTACAGTCATTCCAAGAGATACATTGTGACCCATAAGAAGGGACTTGTACAGAGGTTACTGTAAACAAGTAAAACCGCCAGAGCCGTTTCGATAAAACCGAGAGAGACAGACAGAGAGAGAGAGAGTTGTGAGAGTATGCCTGTAATCCTGAGCAGGCAGAGGCAAGAAGATCTCTGTGAGTTCAAGGCTGGTCTAAGTATCAAGTTCTGGGGTCACAATGTGGGAATCTTGGTGATTACACGCAGGAGGTCAGGTTTTGTAGCAAGCATCTTTTCACACTGAGTCAGTTATTACCATTTGGACATTCTGATTTCAAGTCACACAGGAAAAGGCTATGTTGGTATTCCAACCCAGATCAGCCAGACTGCCCTGGTATGTCTGTTGTATTGTTTGCTACAGTTTATGGGTGAAAAGGGAAATGAGGTACAGAAGGATTAATATTGGAAAGTTTTAAGGTCTCTTTTCAGACTAGGACCATTTGACCTGGTGTCTTAATGTTATAAAGATCAAAAGAGGGCCAGGCAATGGTGTCCCATGCCTTTAATCCCAGCACTCAGGAGGCAGAGGCAGGCAGATCTCTGTGAGTTCGAGGCCAGCCTGGTCTACAGACTGAGTTCTAGGACAGCCAGGGCTACACAGAGAAACCCTGTCTCGAAAAAGATTAAAAGAGAATTTCAAAGTGCTGTATAAACAAAAAAGTGGCATATGGATGTATGCAATTGTTACATCTAGTTTGCAATTTTTTGGTCGTTGTCTTGACAACAAAGGTATTGCTTTCTGTTAGTTCTAAAGTAGAAGTAGCATCAGTGAGAAGAGGGAAGTTTCTACTTAGGAATTACTGAGTTTGCTAAGTCATTTAGGAATGACCTGCTTTGAAGCAGGATAATAAAACAGTGAATGCAATTAGCTCACAAAGGACTAAACCTGCTCAGTCTTTCTCTTTTAAAGATTATCTCAATTTTCTTTGTAACAACTTAAGAGTTTACAGAACAACTCAGCCTTGTTTTACGATGATGGGCTGGGGCCCAGCACAAGTAACTGGCTTGTTCAAGGTCGCCAGCTACCACAAGTGGCAGAAATTAGATCTGGCTCCAGAAGTCAGTTTGCTACAGAAATCGGTCTCTCCTCCAACTGTGGCCCAGTGCCAGTGTCTCCTTGTTCCCAGACTAGTGCTAGAAAGTCCCGACACCTTTGCCTCTCTGTGCTGCTGTGACTGAAGGGTGGACTGTCAGGGAGCACTAGGAAGCCATGTGCCTTCTGGTTTTGTTACGACTTTTTTAACTGTCACTTTTCTCTTTATAGCTCTGAAGAGGCTGAGGGATTCTGCCAATGCCAATGATGTAGAAACAGGTGAGTGTGCACAGTGGGTCTACGGGCTGATGGGAGGAAAAGGCCGAGTGCTCCACACCAGGGCAGTGTCGCAGCCGAGTGCTCCCCTCATTCCGTCAGAGCATGCTAACTGTGTTTACTCCTGACCCTGAAATCACCGTGCAAAACAGAAGGAAGGTGTAGGCTCCCTCAGTGTGCTCCTCCGTCACCAGAGTCTCCAGTGTCACAGTGCTCATCACCCTGTGTGTTTCCTGATGCTAAGGCCATGCCTGGTGGGTTGTTGTTGTTGTTTTCTACACAGGGTTTCTCTGTGGCTTTGGAGGGTGTCCTGGATCTAGCTCTTGTAGACCAGGCTGGTCTTGAACTCACAGAGATCTGCCTGCTTCTGCCTCCCAAGTGCTGGGATTACAGGCGTGTGGCACCGCCGCTCGGCTCCTGGTTGTTTTTAATCCCTGGGATTTAGCAATGTGCTCAGCAAAAAGCAAATGCCAACTTTGGAACTTTTGGCTCCTAGGAGTGAATACTACCAGGTGATCATCTGGTACCCCTGGCTGTCCGGTAACTGGTTCTCTGACCTGTCATTGACAGGACATCTGGCAAGCATGGGTGGGGTTCCCTACAGGACACTTCTGTAGGCTTTCTGTTGCTGCTTCTGAGCATTCCCCAGCTGAGGTAGAGCATTGGAGCTACAAGGACAGCTTGTAGGACAAATACCACCACCTCTACCACCAGTTACTTATTTAACCCGATAATAATACTTCCCATGTATCGGGGAAATGGTGTATCGGGGAAATGTCTGCTGTATGGTCAGACTTTTGTCACAGTGACAGAGAAGCACCTAAGGAAGGAGATTACTTTTGGCTCATGATCTCATTTAGTGCATTCACATCTCAGTGTGGTGGGGTATGCCCTTCATCTCCGCCCTCAGGAGGCAGAGGTAGTTGGATGACAAATTAAGGTCTGTCTGGACTACCATAGCAAGTTCTAAAACAGCCTGGAGTACAAAAGGAGATAAAAATAATAGGTTTGGTCTGGGGAATGGCTCCGTGGGTAAGAGCACTTGCTGTAAAGGCAAGAGGACCTGAGTTCAAATCCCCAGGGCCTGTGTAAAAAATGTCAGGCATGAGGGAGAAATGGCTCAGTGGTTAATGGCACTGACTGTTCTTCCAGAGGACGGGGTTCAATTCCCAGCACCCACATGGCACCTCACAACTGTCTCTAACTCCAAGATCTGACAGCCTCACACAAACAGACATACACACATGCAGGCAAAACACCAATGCACATAAAATACAAATTATTAAAAAACTTTTTAAGTGTTGCTTAAAAAAAAAAGTCATGTATGGCTCCATGTGCCTGTAACCCCAGTATTAGGGGGTTGGAGACAGGTGGATCCTAGGAGTTTGGTGGCCAGTCATCCAAACTGAAGCGGGAAGCTGTAGGTTCAGTGAGAGACTGAAAAATACAGTGGAGAGTGACAGAAGATGCCTGATGCCTTTCTCTGGTCTCTGTATGCACACCTAGGTGCATACACTTGTATACACTGTGGACATATACATACACAACACAAAAAAAGATGACTAAATGAAAGGAAAACCAAACAAGTTTCCATTGCCCATTGCTGAAGGGTGTGGCAGGAGAGAGGTCAGTGTCACTGACAGGAAGCAGAAAGAGCACGCGTGAGCTCTCCGGCTCCCTCCTTTCCCTTTCCTGTCCTTCTGGGCCCACGAGCTACGGGATGGTGCTGGCCACACTCAGGTTAGGGATTCCCTCCTCGAATCTTTTCTGAGTGTCCTCATAGGCTCACAGTGACTTACTGATCAAGTTAGGACTCACCATCGGAGCTGCCTCAACAAATGGCCCAGACACTGCTTAACAACACAAGTAGCATGGACAGTTTACATTCATCCCGGTTCCCTGGCCAGGCTGCATCTCCAGGTGTCTGCCAGGCTGCGGCTTTTTGCAGGGTCATGGAAAGAATCTGTTTCTCTGTTTTGCATCCTCTAAGTTGCAGAGTTTCTCGGTGCTAGGCCTCTTTCTCATCTACAAAGCCTGCAACAGTGGACTGAGTCCTCATCTTGCCATCTCAGTTTTTGAAGTAGGAAAAGGTCCCCTAGTTTGAAGGATTCATGTGGTTCCACTGGGCCTGGATAATCCAGCATTGTCTCCATATCTTAAGAGCCTTGGGCAGAGCTACAAAAGTTGCTTTTGCCTTGAAGGCATCATATCCACAAAATTGGAGGGCCATTATTCTGCCTACCTCCAGGATATAGCACTCTGCCTGGGTGGTGGGTTGCCGTGGCAACAGGTAAGAAGTGATGAAGTGCCTTGGTCACAGGTACCCCTTACAGCAGGCATGAGGTAGGGACAGTTACCCAGGGACCTGCTTCCAGATGGTTCCCTTGCCTTTGGCACAGCAATAGAAAGTTTTACAATGAAAGATAATAGACTATTTTTTAACATCTGTTGTTTGGGGAGCATGTGTGTCCTTGTAGATGTCAGAGAACAACTTATGGGTACTAGTACCTTCCTTCAACAATGTGGGTTTCAGCGATTGAACTCAGGTCATCAATGTTAGCGCTTTTACCACTGAGATTTCCTGCCCACTCAGGCACTTTTTTGTTTGTTTGAAAGATTTGTTTATTATGTATACAGTGTTCTTTTTTTAATGGTTTATTTATTTTTACTTTATTGGTATTTTGCCTACATATATATCTGTGCAAGGGTGTTAGATCCCCTGTAGGTGGGCTTACAGACAGTTGTGAGCTGCCATGTGGTTGCTGGGAATTGAACTCAGGTCCTCTGGAAGAACAGCCAGTGCTCTTAACCACTTTAGCCCAGATACAGTGTTCTGTCTGCAGGCCAGAAGAGGGCACCAGATCTCATTACAGATGGTTGTGAGCCACCATGTGGTTGCTGGGAATCGAACTCAGGACCTCTGGAAGAGCAGGCAGTGCTCTTAACTGCTGAGCCATCTCTCCAGCCCACTCACACACTTTTTTAAAAATGCTAGGGAGGCAAAGGCAGGTAGATCTCTGTGAGTTCAAGGCCAACCTGGTCTACAGAGCAAGTTCCAGGACAGGCTTCAAAGCAATACTGAGAAACCCTGTCTCGAACCCCCCCCCCAAAAAAAAGCTCTGGTGTGTGTCAAGAGAACAGGGTTAGGGCTATTGTCTTTCAGTTTGGCCTTGAACCTGTGATTCTCCTGTCTCTCTCTAGAGTGCTATGGTTACAGGTATGTGACACAATCCCCTGTCAGCCATTCAATAACAGTAACTGAGCCAGCACTTACAGGGCACTATGTCTCATGCCCAAGCTATAAATCCATAATATAGCTGAGGAGGAAGTCTATACATTGTCACCAGTTCAAAACTCAAATGCAGCTGAGGAGGAAGTCTATACATTGTCACCAGTTCAAAACTCAAATGCAGCTGAGGAGGAAGTCTATACATTGTCACCAGTTCAAAACTCAAATGCAGCTGAGGAGGAAGTCTATACATTGTCACCAGAATGCAGCTGAGGAGGAAGTCTATACATTGTCACCAGTTCAAAACTCAAATGCAGCTGAGGAGGAAGTCTATACATTGTCACCAGTTCAAAACTCAAATGCAGCTGAGGAGGAAGTCTATACATTGTCACCAGAATGCAGCTGAGGAGGAAGTCTATACATTGTCACCAGTTCAAAACTCAAATGCAGCTGAGGAGGAAGTCTATACATTGTCACCAGTTCAAAACTCAAATGCAGCTGAGGAGGAAGTCTATACATTGTCACCAGTTCAAAACTCAAATGCAGCCGGGTGGTGGTGGTGGGACACGCCTCTAATCCCAACACTCTGGGGGCAGAGGCAGAAGGATCTTGATGAGTTTGAGGCCAGCCTGGTCTACAGAGTGAGTTACAGGACAGCCAGGGCTACAGCAGTGGTGTGCTGAGCTGGAGCAGAAAGGCCAGGTTTGCAGCCCGCTCGCCTCTCGTCACCTGGGTCACTGTGACCTCTGAACCTTACATCTCACTGGGTCAAAGTGCCCTGCTTTGTGAAGTGGATGTGACACCTTGCATGACTATTGTCAGGCTGATGCTGGCCAGAATTCCCAGGGCACTGTACAGTGAGCACTGTTCTAGAATGGACAGTCTTCTGCTGCTAAAGAACAGGAAATGGAAGAAGTGTGGGGAGGAGAGGCTGACTCAGCTGGGGAGATCTGCATGGACAGGAAGCAGTTTGGACTTTGGCTGCAAGGACTACTCAGGGAAAGAGACTAAAACGTCACTGACTCTAAAATGACTGGCAGCAATTTTCCCCACTTGTGCTGGACATGGTCATTAGTGTGTAATGTCTCCCCATTTCAGGGCCCCTGCACTGCCAGAGAAGGAATAGCACATCCATTATCCATATCACAGTGGCTCTGCAGATGTCAGCACACAGATGATGCTCATTTTCTGGTGACTGCTTTGCAAGTCCAGGCTTCCATGCCTGTTCCCATCCAGTTTCTGCCACCTCCACACGCTGATGGCTGTGCACTCCTTTCTTGCTTAGCTTAGCCTGGGATTTTGTGTGTCCCTGAGGCTTGTGCTCTGTCCCCTTCAAAGTGCTACCCCTTGACCACCAAGTACCAGCCAATAGCTTGGGCAGCTGTGTCCAGCTGGAATGGATGTGTATCCAAGCAGAGACAAAGGAGTGGGCCCACGGCCTATGCCAGAATTACTGTGACTCTGCAGTTGCTACCATGAAGATAAAGAGCCTCTTCCGATGTTCCGTCCAATCCCTAGACACATAGGCTAAACACAGACTCCATGGACATTAAGATAACAGAATTCCCCTTGGGCCAATAGTCCTTGCGGGGCTAGCGTCTAGGAGGGACCAACTTTCCTGTGAATTGTGAGTGGCTCACCTAGAGGGGCCCTTGAGCATCACTGTCCATCCCTAGGGACTGCAGCATCGCTAACACTTCTCACCCTTCTCCTCCCCCATCTTGGTGGTCAGTGCAGCAGCTGCTGGAAGATGGCACGGATCCCTGTGCAGCTGATGACAAAGGCCGCACAGCCCTCCATTTTGCCTCCTGTAATGGCAATGACCAGATTGGTGAGTTCTGGGGAAGCAAGAGGAACTGGTCAAGGCCAGTGACACCTTCTAAATGGAATGGGGGAAGAATTGCTGTGTCAGCATGCCTCAGGGGGCCAGGGGGTGGGACAGGAAGACTTGTGACAGGAGCCCTCAAGTACTAGGGTTACAGATATGTGCTGTTATGCCCAGCTGGTTTGGTCCTGGGAATCAAATTCAGGGGCTTCACTGGTTTTAGGAAGTGCTCCACCACTAAGCTATACCTCCAGTCCTGTTCGTACTTCTTACTCAGTCCTGTTCGTATTTTTTACTTTGAGACAGGGTCCTAGTAAGTTGTTCAGGCTGGCCTTGAGCTCATGCTACAAACCAGGCAGGCCTTGAACTTGAGACCCTCTAGCCTCAGACTCCTGGATAGCTAGTCACAGACCTGAGCCACAAGGCCCAGCTACAGTATTCTGGTCACTCCTTTCCTTTGGTTAGTGGGTTTTTTCTGTGTGTGACTCTTTACGAAATCTTCACCTTCCCCACAAAGATAGTCTCCTGTTCACATTTCGTCTATGACCAATCTCTCTGGAATTTAGCTTTTGTTCTTCTGTAAGAGTCAGCCTGGCCCTCCAACTCAATGTCCTTAACCTAAGTGATCCGAGCTGGGTGATTGGCAAGTCCTGGCAAGATGAGGTGGCGCAGGACTGCAGAGGGGAGACTGTTCTTGGAGCACAGCGTCGTCCATGGCCTGGCTCTCAGTGCAGCGTGCTGCTGTACGGGGAATAGGAAATATCTTCAGGAGCCTCTCCGGTACTTTCATATAGGACCAAGAGGCCAAGAGACATTTCTAGAGTCCTTGGGGTCCTACACATAAACCCTGTAAGTCACATAAGTGATTGAGTGCGTGCAACAACACAGGAACCATGTCTGGGTTCTGACTTCACTCCAAGAAAGCCTCTACTGGCTTCAGGGTGAGGTTTAGTTGGTGCAAACCTCTAACAGTATATCTTGGGTTTTTCTGTCTTCAGTGCAGCTTCTCCTGGACCACGGGGCTGACCCCAACCAACAGGATGGTCTAGGCAATACACCATTGCACCTGGGTAAGTTCTCAAAAGCCACCACAAGGTAGACATCTAAGATATAAAGGCTGGGGTTCTGCAGGCTCCCAGAAGTGTCTCCTAGCACCCTGGCAGGGCCTGAACCACAAGTGTGCATTCCCAGTCTGTGTCCCCAGACCACAGACCATTCATTCATAGTGGGTTGTGCACTTGGCAGAGCTGTTTGTGTGCCTTAGACTGGTTGTAACCACCTCTGCTAGGAAGCCTTGCTTTGGACTCCAGGCCTCAGTCTCCCCAACTATACAGGGAAATACTGGACTTGATCTGAGTGCTGCCCAACAGGGCACATTCCCTTGGTGACACTGTCTCAGGAGGTAACGTGCACAAGACCACTCAGAAGCATAGCTTCTTTTTCCTGCTCTCCAAAGCCATGGTTCTTTTTTCTTTTTCTTTTTCTTTTTTTTTCTTTTTGGTTTTTTGAGACAGGGTTTCTCTGTATTGTTTTGGAGGTTGTCCTGGAACTCACTCTGTAGACCAGGTTAACCTCGAACTCACAGAGATCCGCCTGCCTCTGCCTCCCGAGTGCTGGGATTAAAGACGTGCGCCACCAACACCCGGCTTTTCTTTGTTTTTAGAGACAAGGTGTCTCTGTGTAGCCCTATCCTGGAACTCACTCCTTAGACCAGGCTGGCCTCAAACTCACAGGGATCCTCCTGCCTCTTCCTCCCAAGTGCTGGGATTAAAGGCGTGTGCCACCACCACCCGGCCACAATCATGAGTCTTAAGTCTGTCTTCTTTCACAGCGGCCTGCACCAACCATGTGCCTGTCATCACCACACTGCTCCGAGGAGGTATGTGTCCCCTTCCCCTTCCTGCCCGTCTCTCATTCTCATCCCCAGCTTGCTCCCTTCTGCCTCCTCCCACAGGGGCCCGTGTGGATGCCCTGGACAGAGCTGGCCGAACACCCCTACACCTGGCCAAGTCGAAGCTGAACATCCTACAGGAGGGCCACTCCCAGTGCCTGGAGGCTGTCCGGCTGGAGGTGAAGCAGGTGAGCGATTCCTCCCTGGCTGGGTATCACACTTGGCAGATTGCCTGCCTCTGGCTTAGGGCTTCTGACCCCCAACGTCCCTGCCCCATTATGCTATTGGTTTCAAGTTGGGCCTGTGCCTGCCTTCCAGCCAGCAGCTCGGCTCTCCTTCTCCTTCCAGATCATCCACATGTTACGGGAGTACCTGGAACGCCTTGGGCGGCATGAACAGCGGGAACGGCTGGATGACCTCTGTACCCGCCTCCAGATGACAAGTACCAAAGAGCAGGTGAGCTACAGCCACAGGACCTGGAGTGTTGCCACCACCATGGCCCTCACAGCTTCTGTCCACTTCCTTGAAGTTGTGCTGGCTAGTGTGTGCTCATGTCCCTGTTCCAGGGGGGTGGGTAGTCAGTCCTAGACTACCCAGTGCCCAGGATGAGCTCATGGTCAGAGAGAAGGGTTGGTGACACCTAGGCCTTCACTGGGTAAGGTCTCCTCTAAGCCCAGCACAAAAGTCTTCAACCCCCATCCTAGTCATTGAGACACTCTCCAAGAGGAGGAAGCACTTGTATGCCATGAAGAGGGACAATGCCTGTGGCCTGTGGCGATGTCCCTTGGATCAGCTGGGTTTCTCCCTGCAGGTGGATGAGGTGACGGACCTTTTGGCCAGCTTTACCTCCCTCAGTCTGCAGATGCAGAGCATGGAGCAGAGGTAGCAAGGAAGCGTCTTCCTGGCTTTGTCACCACCCTCCTGCCCTCCGCTCTGCTACAGGGAAAGCCCAGGGGGCTCTGGAGTTCCACCTTGCCCTCGCCCTTAGAAGCTGAGGGCGGAGCTGCTCCCAGACAGTCTGCATCATCTCTATGGGCCAGGGCCACAGCCCCAGCTCCTGGTGCACAATGCCAGCCTCTGTAGCCGCATTCCAGGCCCACACGCGCTGCCCTAGCAGACGCCACTCCTCCTGCGGCCTCCCTGTCCTCAGCAAGCCCCAGAGCCCCATTTCTTCCCAGCCATGGACTTGTTACCGTCATCTGGCTTTGGGTAGGTACTCTGAGGCCACCCTGCTGCTGTGGATCTCTAAGCTGGCCCCGCCCCTCACACCAGCACTTAAGTTTAGCCCTGCACCTGACTTTCAAGGGCACACTGCACTGCCTGGGTGTCTCTGAACAGAAGAGGGACATTGCCGATGCTTAGGCCTTCATAAGGTTAGGAAGGACCCTGTTTAGCCCAAGGAAAGATCTCTACCTCCTTCCCTCCAGCCACTGAAACACTACGGATGGGGATCTGTTTTACAGCCAAGTTGTCAGAGGTAGATAGCGGTTCGTTTGCCCAGGTCCTCATCCCAGGAACCTCTAGGCCCTAGTTGGTGTGACAAGAGTCTGAACAGATATATAACCAGAGGTCTTTAGAGGAGAGAGGATCCTGGACCGTCTAGGTAGGTGGGGTATCACCCCAGAGAGCCCTGTGGGGGGAGGCAGGAGATGGCTGCTGCCATGTGGATGTGAGAAGGAAGGAGCCAGGAGCTGTCAAGGACAGCAAATGGACTGCCCTCTGAGCCTGCAGCGGGGGCTGGCTCTGCCCTCTGAGCCTGCAGCGGGGGCTGCCTCTGCTGGCAACTGGACTTCAGCTCAGCGGGATGCATTTCAGTTTCTAGCTTCCAGAATGATGAGAGTAAATCTGCTGTTTAAGCTGGTTTTTTAGTGGTGGCTTCTTGTAGTGACAACAGAAACTCAGGGACTCCGACTCATTGCTGAAAAGTGCCTGACCCTATCGTGAAGATGGTTCTGGGGTGTGGGGTACTCCTCACAGAGGAGGCTGCCTCTGCTGACAGGGTTTTGGCCGTGGCTTCTCAGCTCAGTCCACATCTGGCCTGGTGTTGCCGTTTCTCTCTCACAAGCTAAAAGCCCTGGGTAGTGGCAGAGGAGAGCCCACCTTCAGATCCCAGCCTGGTACTGAATGGAACTCGGCCACTCCCCAGACCCTGGAGGAAGAATTGGATAGTATTTTACCCCCCCCCCATGGCAGGGTTGGGGGGCAAAGTGCTTCAGCAGCCCCAAGACTGGGAGGAGCAGCTGCTGTCCCTGCTGAGTGACGAGAGGAACAAGGGGCTGTGTGTGTGGGATAGACTTTCTTCTCTCCTGGGTGACCAACTCTCCAGATGATCTTCACTTCCTGCGGCCCAAGGGTGCACTTGATCTTGCTGTCTTCTTGAGGCTTCACTGGGCCTGGGGTCATTACCTGGGGAGGCTGGAGACCAAGACAGAAGAGGCAAGTGGGAAGGGACGGCCCCTCTCAGGCTTGCATCCTTGGGCCTCCTCACCCTGACCACCTGGAAAGAGAAAGGCATGCCAGGGAAGGAACATGAACCTCAGGAGTAAGGTTTGTGTGGAGTGCACACTAGCATTCTGAAGAAAAATCTACATTAGGGGCTGGAGAAATGACTCAGTGGTTAAGATCACTGACTGCTCTTCCAGAGGACCTAGGTTCAATTTCCAGAACCCACACAGCAACTAACAATTATATGTAACACCAAGATCTGACATCCTCATACAGACATATGTGCAGGCAAAACACCAATGCACATTAAGAATAAATACATTGCCGGGCGTTGGTGGTGCACACCTTTAATCCCAGCACTAGGGAGGCAGAGACAGGCAGATCTCTGTGAGTTCAAGGCCAGCCTGGTCTACAGAGCGAGTTCCAGGACAGCCTCCAAAATGATACAGAGAAACCCTGTCTCGAAAAACCAAAAAAAAAAAAAAAAAACATTAAGCAAAATTGGGACTCGAGCTTTGGCTCCCTGGAAGCAGAAGCACAAAGAGCTGCCAGGATCTTCTGGGGCTGCCTGGGCATGTCAAGGACACTGTGCCCCAGGCTGCTGATTTGAATTTGAAGAGTGGGGTGTGCTGAGATGACCCAGAATTTCTAAGACAGTAAGACACAAGGACTAATTGATTCCTGAAGCCTGGGCCTCCAGGAACAAGGAAGGCATCCTCCGCCCGTTACTTCAGGCCAGGCCCCAAGAGCACCGTTGTCCCTAGCACAGTGCCTGTTACTAACTCCCTCTGTGGTCATGCAGACAGCAAAGGGAGGGCCTGGTTCAGGAAGGTGGCTTTTAGGTTAATCAAACCCTGGCCAGGCAGCCAGGCAATCTGCCTTGTCCCATTTCCCGCCAGAATATTTCCTGGATCAGTCTGAAGAGCCAGCCAGAGAGTTGACCCAGACACTGGAGTGAGTCAGGAAATACACAAGTGGGCCCTGGGCAATGGACTGGGCAGCAACAGGAAAGAACTCAGCTGAATCAGTCCTCCGGGGTTGGCTCTCCTGGAGCTGACTTCCTGGAAGCCACTGACTGGGAGAGGGGGCAGTGGGCATTGGGGGGGGGGGCTCTTGGTTTCACCTGGTCCTGACTGCTTCCTTCCTAATTTGAACAATCCTTAAACTGAGCACTTACTCATACATTCCAGGTGGACCTGCTCTTGCTTCAGCCCACAACTGACCAAACAGGTTTGCCAGAGACCCCCACCGTGCCGCCCCCAGGCAGCCAGGTCTGCCTCAAACGCATGCAGTTTCTACCGTGCCTCACAATCCATTTCCTCACACAAGGTGTGGCTCTGTGTCAGCAGGTGTGTCTATGATAGTGTGACCGTGTGTGTGTGTGTGTGTGTGTGTGTGTGTGTGTGTGACTGTGTGTGTGTGTGACTGTGTGTGTGTGTGTGTGTGTGTGTTCATTCCCCTATTCTGCTGTGGAGAACTGGGGTGTGGACAGAAGGTAGCTTGCTTGGAATCAGATGTGTCAGACTCTAGTATTCTCCCCTGGCTTCCAAAAGCCCAGAAGCAGAAGATCTGACTCCTTCCTTACCAAGCTCACCGTAGATAAGACATACCTCATACTAAGACAAGGTCAAGGTGATGGGGCTGGTCAGGAGCCTAGATAGTCCTGATGATCTGTGGGGAGGGGACCCCAAAGGGTGATAGATTGCCTAAGGGGGAAAGTGGATTTGGCTAGGGAAGGCCCCTAGGAGGAGCTTCTGAACAAGACCATAATGCCTTGGAGGGAGGCCAGCTGAAACCAGTTCTACCCAGAGGCCTCTCGCTGTGAAGTAGAGCAGCTGGGATTCAAACTGTACATTCTGAAGCGCACCCACTTGCCCTGAGCTACACCGCTGCTCTGGGTTGTCCCAGCAGCTGAGGCCAGTGCCTGCTCCAGCTCCATGCTACCAGAACCACAGATGTGGAGGGGGCCCCAGTGCACCCACAGGTAGCCCATCCACCCTGTCCTAGAACCATCCTTTCAATTGCAGCCTCACCCCTGCATAAGCCACTTAGCCTGTTGCCAAGCAGATGTCTCCATGATCAGTCTGAGCCTCTTAACCAGCTCTCAGCCTGTCCTGCTGGCCTCACATCATCCTGCAGCCAGCAATTCGCAAATGAGCCCAGCTTCAGGAAGCGATGTTCATTAACAGGAAAGCTGGGTGGTTAATTGGTGTTTATTTCCCCTGGTCCACACCTCGAAGTTGATAGATGATGCTGTCCCTGCCAGCCCAAGGCGGGAGGAGGGGCTGGTGAGTAGGGCTGTGCCAGAGCTCTCAGCCCGGGTCAGGCAGCCCTGTCACGGGAACGGCACAGGGCTGGGCACAGGGAGGCCACCTTCTTTGCGCGTTCTGGTTCACCCCACTCCCAATCAGCTCCATCTTGCCACTTCTATGACTACGTGAAGCCAGATCAGACAAACCTGAGCTCTGTGGTCTAGGGCAAGTTACCCAACCTTTCTGGTCTTCATCTTCCAACTCAAGCAGGTGAGACATAAGTTCCAGAGCCGAGCGCAAGAACTAAATACAACATGGCAGGTGTAGCACGCCACTTCCCCGCGGACCCCACAGCCCACCCCACCCAGATACCTCAGTCTAATGTGTCTCAACCAAGCTCGTCACTTTCCCCAGAAAGTCCTCTTAATTGTCCCCACTGATACCCCAGGGCTCAAGCTAGAAGCTCGTGTGTCATCTGAGGTACCTTTTTCTTCCTCAACTGTCATCAGTCTTGACAGTTATATTTCCCACGTGATTGACTGCTTGAGTCCCCACTGTCTTTGTCCTGAATGTCTTCAGCTCTGGATTTTCAGCAGCCTGAGCTGTGTCCCTGCCCCTGTTCTTTCATCATACAAATGCCAACGATGGCAGCAACAGGAAGTTCCTAAAACCTCATCAAATCACTCTGGTTTCAGAACCACAGCAATGGCTCCTCCTTGCCCTCAGGAGGTATCCCATGTTCAGATGACACCCAGAGCCTTCTTCACAATGCCCCCACCACCTTTGCCTCCCTTCCCCAGGGGACCCTGTGCCACCACAGGCCCCTGCATCAGTAACCCCTGCAAATGGTCTTTCAGGGCTCCTTTGAGCTGCAGTGAATACACGTTTAACAGCTGTCCTTGGGCACAGTTTCTCCAGGAAGTCTCGGAGTCCACACTGATGGGACCTCCCCTGGGCTCCACAGTCCCAGCTGTCTCCCCTGCTGCGCCCGGCAGGTGCTCAAGTGTGGTTACACACTACTCCTCATGAGTTCTGCGGCACGGTGGTATATGCCTCTCATCCCAGCACTCAGGAGACCATGTCTCAGAAAAAGAAAGAAAAAAGACTTCACCAACCAGAAGTCAAGGGCTGCAGAGTCTAACCCTGCTCCAGCTGGAAAGGCCTTCCTACTGAGGCCACCCCAGCCTTGGCCTCAGTGTTGCTGGGGCCTCAAGTCAGACAACCTCTCCTGGCCTCAGCACCCTGGTTTCACTCAGCCTCTGCTCCAGACCCCACTGCCTGCCTTGGGCTCCACAGGACACACGGTTCTCTCCTTACCAAATCATTGCCACCACCTGCTCTTCTGTGTACCTCATTAGTCCCCGAAACAAACCCCGAGTCCTGGAAGCCAAGCCTACACCTAGCAGCAGGCTTTCAATCTTCCTGTCATGTCTGCAAAACCCATTTTCCAGCTCTGGCCCAGGACTTGAAGGCTCTCCTTCCCAGCCTGTGCTTATGACCCTGGGACTTTCTGAGCAGTGCCTCAGAGGGAGCCCCATTTCTCCACCTCTTCACTCCTGGAAATCAGGGTTTGCCGGACCTGCTCTGCCTGAAAGATGGATTTCCTACTGTCCCCACTGAGCTCACCTACCCTTCCCACTCGAGCTGTGTAAGCTTGCTTCTGGCTCCTCATCCCTTCCCTTCTTGTGGTTTGCCTTCCTCCAGAAACACACACACACACACACACATACACACACAAAGACTTACACATACACACCACACACACAGTAACACATACAGACACACCACACACACACTCCTTCACATGTCACCTCAGGAACCAGGCACAGTGATGCATGCCTGTAGTCCTAGTACTCAGGAGGCTGAGGCCGGAGGATTGCTGTGACTTTGGACCTAGCCTGGGCTATATAATAAGAACACCAGGTCAGCCAGGCTGCACAGAAGGGCCAGTAGATATTTCAGGTTTGCAGGCCTGAGGACCTGAATTTGATCTCCAGGTACCATGTAAAAAGCCACAGCTGAATACAGAGAAACCCTGTCTCGAAAAACAAACAAAAAAGCCACAGCTGGTCCTCAAATACCTTGAATCCCAGCATTCTGGAGATAGAGGCAGGCCAGATCTCTGTGAATTCCAGGCTGGTCAGGCCTACATAGTGAGACCCTACCTCAGCAAAACAAGACAAAAGCTGTGACTATAATCCTAGAGCTGAGAACGCCGGGACAGGAGGATCCCAGGGGTTTTCTGGGGAGTTTCAGATTCAGTGAGAGAAAATAAGATAGAGATCAATCAGGAGGATACCCAATTTGGACCTCTGGCTTACACACCATGCATATACAAATGGACGTGTACAAACACACTCATAGGCATTCTCTCTGGAATTCCTGTTTGCATTGTCCAGGGAGGCAGGAACTTTCCTGTCTGGGCCATTTCAGGTCAGTGTGTTCTTCTGTTAGGGCCTTTTCTCTTTCTGGCAGTACTGGGAATTGAACTCAGGGCGTCATGCATACTAAGCAAGTACTCTACCACTGAGATATAGCCCTAGCTCTCTCTACTTCTTGAGATGGGTCTCACTAAGTTGCCAAGGCTGGCCTCGAACTCACTGTGTAGCCTAGGCAGGCACTGAACTTGTGATCCTTCTACTTCAAATTCCCCAGAAAAGAGCCACTGGCCTGTCCCACTAGACTCTGCTGGGCTGGCCCTTCATGTCACTGTGCTGTCCCATCTTCCGCCCCCCCCCCCGTTTTTACTTAGATCTCTAGCCAGGCTCCCAGCAGACAGGGCCAAGATAAACTCAGGCCACCTTTGGTTTCTCTTAAAGTCAGGCTTGGGGCAGATGCTTGTGGTAAAGAAGAGGACAGGCAGGGCCCAGCCTTTTCTTCCCTGGTACCTTGTCCTCACATACAAGTATCTACCCACTGCCTGCCTTCACTTCCTGGGCTTCCCTTAGCCCATAGATCCTGGGTGGTTGCACTGAGCCAGAGTCCTGCTTCAAAAGCACAGGTCTCAGCAAGCCAGCTAGGGGTCCGGCTGTCCAGTGGTCCTCCACCTGTTGAGCAGAGTCAGGCCACTGTGACAGGGCCCAGAGACCATTAACTTCTCAGGTTCACAAAGGTTCCAGTTGGGTCGCCTGCCTGGAACTACAGAGGACTACTGGCTGGCTAGACTCACTTCCTTTCAGCCAGCCGAGAGGTTTTGTCCTCACTCCTACTTGGCAGATGTGCGCTGACCCTGACAGCTCTCAGTGGCCTTTCTGTGTTTACTCAAAGATGCTGGGTTGCCCTGAAAATGTCCTCTGGGTCTAGTGTGGGTCCCAGACCAACTTTAGTGTGATATCAAATTACTTATTGAAATATGACTTGTCAATTACACCCACTTTATCTGTACACTTCAATGGCGTCGGCATGTCCAGTGGTTGCACAGTATCATGATCTACTTGTCCTTTACTTTTGCCTTTTGAGGCAGGATCTTTCCGTGTAGCCCAGGCTAGCCTGGTACTTGCTAGGTAGACCAAGCCGGTCTCAAACTCACAGAGATCTGCTTACGTCTATCTCCTGAGTGATGGAATCAAGATTGCGCACCAAACATCCCACTTAGTTTTGCTTTAACAAGTTATGCATCTGTATGAGTGTATGTAGGGAGAGTGTGTTCATGTTCAAACATGCCACCACACACATGTGGAGGTCAGGACAGCTTGTAGGAGCGGATTCTCTTTCCACAGTGTGGGTCTGGGGAATCAAACTCAGGTTGTCATGCTTGACAGCAGGCTCCTTATCTGATGTGTCATCTTTTCTGACCACGCCCTCCCGCCTTTTTGTTTGTTTGTTTGTTTTTTTAGATGGGGTCTCATGCTGGCTTTGAACTTGCTACATATGCAAGGAGGATTTTTTTTTTTTGAGAGAGGTTGTTACTACACCCTAGTTGGCCTGTAACTCACTGTATACTCCAAGTCAGCCTGAAAACCACACGCAGGAGCATGTCTCCCTTTGCTAGGATTAAAGGCATGCTCCACGACATCTGGCCCACTCATCAGGAACTTCCGATTCTCCTGCATCCATTTCCCAAGTGTTGAGATTACAGTCACATGTAGGCCACCACCTTTTGGGAATTGAACTCAAAGCTTGATTTAACCCAGAGCATTCTGTACACTGGGCAAGCACCAGCTGAGCTATGGACGGCCCTGGTGATCTAGTTTAGACCCTTTTCATCCACCTAAGGAGAAACTCAGCACCTATTAGCATCCTTATCCCCATCTCCCCACCACTCCCAGACCTAAGCAAACAGCAAATAGGTTTTGTCTTTATAAATCTGCTGATTATACAACACATGTCTCAGTGCCTATTTCCAAGGCCTGTTTTATGTGGCTTTCATTGCTATTTACATATGGAATGCTGCACCACTGTGTGGGCTCCATATTCCATTCAGGGGCTCATATTTGGGGTGCTCCCATGTTTACTTAAATGCTACTACTATCTGCTACTCATTTATGTTTGACCCGGCACGCTGTCTGCCTCCCTGCGTCCCCGGTGTGGGAGGCCTGACTGGGTCCTGGAAGCAGCCACTGGCCTGGCTGATCTCAGCCTCCTGCTGTTCCGACTTCTGCGTCAGCAGCAGGTGGCAGGCTGTACCAACCAAACAGCTGCCTCCTGACAGGGAGAGCCCTTCCCAGGGTGCTCCAAGCAGAAGATGGGAGGGTGTTAGGGCCCGAAGCTAATCAGCATTATTGACATGTGGAAAGGGAGGGCACAGGCAGGCAGCTTGGGACCCAGCAAGACTGATTTATTGGTTAATTAGTCCTTCCTCAGCTGTGTGTGGGGATGGGGAGGGGGCAGGGGGACCAAAGCCCTTAGGAGGCCAGCTGGGGCCCAGGCGAGATTCGTTCTCTCTCTCTCTCTCTCTCTCTCTCTCTCTCTCTCTCTCTCTCTCTCTCTCTCTCTCTCTCTCTCTCTCTCTCTCTCTCTCTCTCTCTCTCTCTCTCGTTGTTGTTGTTTTTTTGAGACCAGACTAGCCTTGAACTCACAGAGATCCGCCTGCCTCTGCCTCCTGAGGGCTGGGATTAAAGGTGTGCGCCACCACCACCTGGCATCATTGTCTCTTTTGAGCCAGGAACACCAGAGCTCAGGGAGTAATGCAAGGTGTGTGGGCTAGGGAACTGACCCTAAGAATGCATGAGTTCAGGAAGCCCCCTGTAGCCAAGCAGAATTCTGAAGGAAGGTGCCTGGGAGTCCTGAAGCTTCTGGAACATCGTGGAGCAGAAGAGCTGCAAGGCAGAAACAAAGCAAGAGCACACAGCTCTTGGGAATACAGCTCAGGGGTAGAGCACTTGCCTACCATTCACAAATTCTTCAGAAACAAGCACACAAAAGATAAAAAATCAACCAATGACAACCGTAAGGAAGAAAGGGCATTGAGCAAAAACCGTTAGACAGCTGTGGATGTGGATCTAGCCTCTACCAAACACTCTCTGACCCTTGGTTTCTGCGTCTGTAAAGTGAGGTTAATTATACCTACCCTGCCTTACAAAGCTGTCTGTATGGTTAAATATAGCATTCTGTAAGGTACATAATAAGAGTTATGGGAATACTTGGTACCCCCTCCTTGAACAAGTCAGGAGTTTGGGGTGCCCACCATCCCAGCCCTTGGGTCGTAGAAGCGGAAGATAAAAGAGTTCAAGGTCATCCTTGGCTGCAGTAGGCAGCTCCAGGTCAGCCTAGACTACATGAATCTGACTCAACTTGTGTCTGTCTCTCTCAACCACAGAACAGAACAAAGCAAAACAAAACTTAGGTCAGGGCTTGGGAGCAAAAAGGGCCATTTAGAGGTAGTAGAAGAAAACGGTCTGGGAGGTGAAGGAACTGTTCTGCCAGACTGGGTTTGGATAGGGGCTGAGGCTGCCTGCTTTGGGACACTGTGTCTGGTCGGGTGGACCAGCTTTAACCACCGCGTCCCTTGCACTGGAGCTGCAACGCTGCCTCTGTTCTGCGGTGGAGTCTGGTCAGGCTGTCACCCTCTAGCGCTCTTCGGTGGCGCTGTATCACTCAGGGAGAAGAGGACAGACTGACAGGCGGCAGAATCCAAGCGGGCAGGGTTTATTGCGGTCTGCGGGCGGACAGGGCTAGTCCAGTCTCTCCACCATGCAGGGCATCCCCTCTGGGTTCCATACTCCAACCGCGAGGCCTGGCGTCTCTGGGGCAACCTGCGGGCCCCGAAGACGCTGGCCGGACACGACGGAGGGCGCGGTGGGCGCGGTGGTGGCGGTGGCGACGGCGGCCGCAGGGCCACAGGCGGCGGAAGCGCGCGCGGAAGTGGCGCGAGGCGAGCGAGTAGACGAGCGGGTTGAGGCAGGAGTTGGCATAGGCGAGGCAGTGCGAAGCCAGGCGGCAGGCGTAGGTGGCCGGGCTGAAGGCGAAGCTGCCGTACCAGAAGCAGAGGATGAGCGCGTGGTGCGGGCCCCAGCACAGCGCGTAGAGCGCGGCCACAGCCAGCATGGCTCGCCCCGCGCGGCCCGTCGCCCGTCTGCGCGCCTCTGCCGCCGCCGCGCCCGCGGGACCCACGGCGGCCCACAGGAAGCGCAGCGTGCGCCCGTAGGCCAGGCTCACCACGGCCACCGGCAGCAGGTAGCCCGCGGCGAAGGTGGCCACGTCGAGTGCGCGCCGCCGCGCGTCCTCCCAGGCGGGCACGCAGAGCTCGAGTGCGCCGTAGCGCACCGTGCCGTAGTAGCTGAGGTAGGGCGCCGAAAAGAGCGCGGCCAGCAGCCACACCAGCCCCACGGCGGCGCGCGCGTTGCGGGGTGTGCGCAGGGCCCGAGAGCGCAGCGGGTGGCGCACTGCCAGGTACCTGCGGGGAGGGTCAGAGGGCACGGGGTCAGGGGGCCGGGCCTCTTGCGCGCGGTCGTCCCGCACCTGCCTTAATTTCCCCATCCCACCCCCACCCCCCTTGCCTGCCGTCTAGCCACAGAAGCAGATGTAAGGGCTATGTGAGCCAGATGTGGGGACTTAACTTCTGAAGAATGCATTGAGAGTTTCTTTCCCTTCCTTCCTTCCTTCCTTCCTTCCTTCCTTCCTTCCTTCCTTCCTTCCTTCCTTCCTTCCTTCCTTCCTTCCTTCCTTCCTCCCTCTCTCCCTCCCTCCCTCTCTCCCTTCTCCCCTTTCCTCCCCCCCCCACCGCACAGAGTTTCTCTGTGTAGCCCTGGCTGCCCTGGAACTCCCTGTGTAGATCAGGCTGGCCTCGAACTCACAGAGATCCTCCTACCTCTGCCTCCAGAGTGTTGGGACTAAAGGTGTTCGTTAGCATCCCTGGTCCTGGAGTTTCCTTTGTTCCTGCGTATTTTACCCTTATGCCAGGCCTGTGCTGACACTTGGGACACAGAAATGTCCTCTGAAAGTTCACAGCGGAGGCGGAAAAGGCAGGTACCACTGAGGCGTCCCTTCATGCCCAGCCAACCTCTAGTCCCCAGTCTCTCCTCCACTAGCCGTAAGAATCTGCCCAGGTCCCTCTCCTGGCTGCCCTAGGTATGGCTCACCTGTCCACTGAGACGGCGGCCAGCGTGAAGCTGCTGGCGTACATGGTGAGGTAGATGAGCAGGTGCACCGTCTTGCACACAAAAGCCCCGAAGAGCCAGGCGTCCAGGGTGTAGATGGCGGCCTGGAAGGGCACACAGCACAGGAGGAAGCAGAGGTCGGCCACCGCCAGGTTGAGGATGAAGAGGTCGGTGGTGCTGCCCGGCTCCTGCCAGGCACCGGGGCCAGGCTGCAGCAGCACAGCCAACACCAGCCCGTTGCCCACCATGCCCAACAGGAAGATGAGGGCAAAGACCACAGGCACTGCCACAGCCCCTACGCTCCCCGGGCTGTCCAGCGAAATGTTCTGGATGTCCGTCATCCTCCTATCAGATGGGGAAGAGAAAAATGGATCCTCAGACAGGAGGCCAGGCACTTGACCCAGGGGCCTCGTTCCTCCCCCCTGGATCTGACCAAGTATCCTGGGCTAACTCATGACAAATGGAAGAGGGTAGAGCCAAGCTAAAGCTCACAGTGTGAGCAAGAACCTGTCACAGTCACATCGGGGTGTGTGTGTGTGTGTGTGTGTGTGTGTGTGTACGAGCGCGCGTGCATGCATGCTCGAACGTGAGCGCTACTGCTTGGTTTCCTAGGGAACACCTCTGTAACCTGGAGCCTGGAAGGCCGCTTGGGTCACTCTGGACTTAGACACAGGCAGAAGATGTGAAGGTGTTAGAGCTGGGGGAGGGACAGTGCAGACACTGGCTGTTCTCACCCAGGCCTGAAGTTCATGAGAGACCCTTGTAACCAGGGACATTTTGTGGCCGATGGCCGCGCTGGTGACACCCCCGAGTCACTGGAGAGTCCATCCTCGTGAAAGCACTGCAGCAGCAAAGCTAGGAAGGCTTCGCACACAGGGAAACTGAGTCCTAGATGTGGCGTGAGTGGGGCTGCTGTGACCCTGGCCCCTGCGCTGGAGCGCTCGCCTGAAAGACTGGCAGAGCTGCCCCTGACAACTCCCCTGTGCCCCACTGCACGTGACCATGAGCACGCTGCCCGATTTCACCCTGCCCCGTCCCTCGGCTCACAACCTGTGGATTGCCTGGTGCTCCAGGCCCACTGCAGCGGAGCGGTGGGACGAATTAGGAGCAAGAGGGTCAAGAGGAAGGGAGGAGAAGGGTAGTATCTGCCCCTGCATAGCACCCAGCATGCAGCAGGCCCCCAAGCCCACGACGGGCAACACCCACCTCAGCCCTAGGCACTGGGCCCCTGCATGCTTCCTGATAAATGGCGAGGCCAGAGCTTCCCGGCTCAGCGGCTGCCCTTGGTGCCTCCCTGCAGGTACGACTCTGCCTCCTATTTCTCTGCCTTGTCTTCAAGGCCCCCACTCTCCCCTCATCTGCCCACCGCTGTCTGCTGAGTTGGATGTGGGCACTTGCTGTCGCTGCTCCGGAGTGGACTGCCCAATCTCCTCCGCAGATTCTGATTTCCCCGGGGTGGCATGCTCCCCTGCCAGGCTCTTGTCTGTCCGGCTCTTCTCAGCCTGTCTGCGTGGTTGCTACCTCACTCTCTCTTTCACCGGCAGTAACCCATTGATCTCGGTGAGATTGGCTTTGTGGTTAACCCCTCCATGCCCAGGGCTCAGCGTGCTCCTGGCCCCTCCCACCTCCTGTGGCCCTGCCTGTGACTCCTCCCCCTATTGCCTAGCTTCCCTGGCTCCAGGTAGAACTCCGACCTAAGCTTAGGAAGGATTTCTAGTTTAAATGGACTTTCCAAAGCTGGGAAAGCAGAACCAAAGTGTCTTTGCTGTGGATTTCAGGTAGGAACCCCAGAGACCCATTTCCTTCCCTTAGTTGATTTCAGGAGCTTCATCCACTGTAAACGAAGTCTTGGTTTAGCCTGAAAGCCATGAGGAAGTTAGAGAAGGTAGAACAGGACCCGTGCCTTCATTTTGTAAGGACTTTGATATGGCTGAGGTTAAAAGTACAGAGATGTCTGCTCTTGGTCTTTTGAGAATGCCTTGCCCTGGCAGGGACCAGAGGTTAGGCGATGGTGAGCCCTTGGAGGAGTGTTCTGTGACCAAATGCTTCCAGGAGGAGAGCAGCTGCCACTTGGACAAGTGTATCAAGGGCTGAAGACAGTCTGCTGTGAGTCAGAAAGGAAGAGTTCTAGACCGTGAACGTGGAGGGGACATCAGAGAAGTGTGTGTGTGTGTGTGTGTGTGTGTGTGTGTGTGTGTGTGTGTGTGTGTGTGTGATGGAGCCAGACTGGAAGAACTGGGAAACACTCTTGGAGACCAGTTCCTGTGGGAGGGGCCTCTATACTGCCACCAACTGCATGTGCAGAGACTCACTGAGCTCAAGCCATTAGGAACCCAACGTGGACGCCACAAGCATAGTTGTGGACCCATTGGAACTGAGGATCTGAAAAGCAGGGTCTTGGGAACTCTTGACAGGGCACTTGTGGGACTCTACAAGTGTGGGGACAGTGCTGTGGGGACAGTGCTGTGGGGGGTGACAGTGCTGTGGGGGGTGACAATGCAGCACAAGTATGCGCCCACGCACCCATACCCGCGTCCCTGGAAGCCCCTCACTGGCCTGGCCTGCAGACCTTCTCCTTCCCTGCTGGGGTTGGGCAAAGCAGCAGGGTTCCGCTGATGCAGGGGAGGGGGGGGGAGGGAGGTCCCTGAGAGCCTGGCTGTGGAGCAGGGGAGACAGACCACCATGCTGGAGCCCCAGGGTGTCCCTACCACCACCTCCTCCCTTGCTTTGCTCCTGCCAGCCTCTGTCTTGAGCCCCATGCCAGATGCAGAGGACAAGGACAGTGTGGCCTGGAAATGAGCCCTGGAGTCCTGGACTCAAGATGAGGACTTATGGCTGACCTGCGGCTGGTTCTTCCAATGCCTCACTTACAGCTTGCCACAGGGGTCCAAAGACTGGCAGTATGTGCCCACTCTGGAACATGGGCACCCTGGGAGGCTGCTGTGTGTGTACTGGGTACTGGATGGCGGAGCAGCGGCAAGGGGACTGAGCCAAACCTGGATCAGGGCAGCAGGCTCCCTGAGCCCCGTGCTGACTGATAGCCTGGAGTGGCCCAGGAGGTGGGTGCAGCTGCTACAGGAACCACCTCTTGGGAAATGATGCCTGGGCACTGCAGGGGGTGGTGCTGCTGGCTGGTGATCACGCTTCCTGCAGCTTCACTTGGGTGTGGGCGGACCTGGGCCTGGTGTTCTGGCCCGCCTGGGTACGCCGCACACACTACCTTATGGCTGCTCTTGGCTCCCAGGCCGGCCCTACAGCTGGCACAGAGCACACGCATCACACTGCTGGCCTAGCGCTACAGGCTGAATCTCCGGCTGGTGCTGCATCATCAACAGTGGTATACCTGGCATTGGCATCAGGTGCTCTGGCTGCTGGTGGCAGTCTGCAGGTAGCCCTGCCCTTGGGGTCACCACAGCTGCCTCCTGCCAGGCTGCAACACTCGCAGCACTACTGGGTTGCAAACAAGGGTTCCCCATTTTAAGAATCTGCAGGATTAGGTTGGAGCTCACTCTGATGGACCATGGCTCCCAACACGCCCTGGTACCCAGACAGGTGGACTGGAAGTATGAGGCCTTGTGAAAAGGCAAGGCCTTTTGTCCTCAGTTCTACTTCAAGCAAACTGAAGAGTTTCCAGAGGCCACACCACCACACTGAGCCCGCAGCTGAGAGCAGAGAGCTCCATCTCCTCCCACAGAGCCCACGGCAAAACCAGGTCAGCAATGTGGGAAGGAGGCGGACACCTACGGTAACAATGGAGCAGGTGGTAGTTAGTGGGGAAGACAAAGGACAGGGCCTTGGCAGCAGCACAGCAGCCCTTCTGGCCTTGCCTGAAGGCTGTGGAACAGCCTGGTCCAAGGCCTCCAGCTCAAGAAGGCAGGGCAGGCAGTGGATGGAGTCTGAGTTCGCTGCGCCCTCTGGAGGCTGACCATCAGACTGTAGGCTTTGGAACCAGACACAGAAGGTGTGGTTGCCAATGGGGAACAGCTGCCTCTAAAATGGGGGAAACTGGGACCTGCACAGGGGCCTAAAGCCATGGAATTAGGGACAAAGAACTCTAGAAAACAGCATTAGATGTCCTTCAGCGGCGACCTGCTTTCTTTTCTCTGGGGCCTGAATCCTCTGCCCTCTCCCAAACACAGGTCCCTTCCTATTTGGCATTTGTTTTGTTCCGTGGATGGGCACAGGAGACGAGTCACCGAGGTTAGACCGAGACAGGGTCCACAGGGCTGGTTGTCAGCGGCCCTCCACAGCGGCACAGAACCTGGCTGTACCAAATGATACCTCCCAGACGCAGGATTCCGATTCAGTTTAGAAGTCACCTCCTGTGGCAGACTGCCCCCAGAGACCCGGTTCCTGCCAGATTCATTAGTCAGCCACAGGACTGGGCCTACTCAGAAAGAATAAAGCAGACCAAGGTGTCATGACCAATTTTCACATTGTTGTCTCTCCAACCACAAGTACACCCCATTTTCAACCAGGCTGGAGAAGTCTGGGTTGGGTCAGAGCCTCTAGGACCCCTTTGTCACTATGGCAGTAGAGGGACTTTGGCTCTGCTGGCCCCTCCCCAGAGCTTAGGGTAGAGCTCCATGCAGCCGCCCCACCTCCACGAAGGCCTCCACACAGCGATCGATGTCCTCTTCACTGTGTACCGCCGAGATCTGCACCCGGATCCGAGCCTTGCCCTTAGGGACCACAGGGTAACTGAATCCGATGACAAAGATGCCTGAGAAGACACCAAAGGCACACAGAGGTAGATAGGCTTCGGGGCCATGACACGTAAGGGCCTGCTGTCCCAAGGCCCACCCACAGAGAATGAGAGAGCTGCTGAACTCAGACACGGTGCTACCTCGTAGTCTGGGGTTGTCACGTTTGGATAGACGGCTGACCCCCAGGCCTGGGGAGGCTCTGCAGTCTATAGGTATTCTCTTCTCTGGGGACACTGCCCCTGGTCCTCTTACCTTTCTTTTTTTTTTTGGTTTTTCGAGACAGGGTTTCTCTGTGGCTTTGGAGGCTGTCCTGGAACTCGCTTGGTAGTCCAGGCTGGTCTCGAACTTACAGAGATCCGCCTGCCTCTGCCTCCCAAGTGCTGGGATTAAAGGCGTGCACCACCAACGCCCGGTCCTCTTACCTTTCTTTAACATGTCATCTGCCATTTGAGAAGACAACCGGGCATCGCCCAACATAACAGGGCAGATGGGGTGATCGGCTCCTGAGACAGTGAAGCCAGCAGCTTCCATCTTACTGCGGAACCTGAGGACACAGCTGAATGTCACGGGTAGCTGAAGTGAAGCCAGAGGAAGAGGCCCAGGGTCTGTGCCCATGTCTGAGAGGAAGGGAAGACAGAAGTACGGACCAAAGGGCAGGTGAGGCGCAGGCGGGGCAGACAGAAGCAGGCACAAGGGGAGGTGGGAAAGGATGACAAGAAGGGCACAGGGGACAGGAGGCGGACGCCGTGATGACGGCGAAGGAAAAGAGGGGTGCACGCAAGAAGAGGAAGACAGGCCTGCAGCTGCCGCCTCCTCCCCCACCCGCTCCAGCCCCTGGCGCCATACCGCCTGGTCTTGGCAGCTATAGACTGGATGATGGCATTGTCCTCCATGAGCAGGTCCAGGGCCTTAGAAGCACAGCCAACAACAGCAGGGGGCAGACTGTTGGAGAAGAGGTAGGGCCGAGAACGCTGTCGAAGCAGGGCTATCAGAGGCTCAGGCCCGGTGGTATAGCCCCCTGAAGACAGAGGACAATGTGAAGAGGAGCTAGTCAGGCGCCAGGAACTGCCCCCAACCCCTCCTATAGTCCATACTGCCCTCCCCTCCATGTCCCCTCCCCCCCTTCCCTACCCCATACAAGGCAGGCCCTGCCTGCGGGGAAGGAGACCCCACAGACAGGGTTCCGTAGGCACCTGATGCTCCGCCCAGCGCCTTCCCCAGAGTGGAGTTGATGATGGTGACCTGGTCCGTCACCCCTAGCAGCTCATCTGTGCCCCTGCAGAGGAAGCAACCACTGCTGCCACTGGCCTCCTGACTTCCCACCCACCTTCAGAAGCCCCCACCCAGGCCTCAAATGCTCCCACCGTCCGGTGGGCCCAAGAAAGCCAGTGGCATGGCATTCATCCACAAAGACCAGGGCACCGTAGCGGGCAGCGAGGCTGCAGATCTCTTGTAGAGGAGCAATGTCACCATCCATGGAGAAGGCCCCATCTGTGGCCACCAGGCGCAGTCGGTGCTTCTGCGGGACAGAAGAGAGCAGGGGATAAGTAGCAGGACCAAGCCACCCACTCTTCCACTGCCTTGGGGCTGTACCCTGAGCTAATCCATCTCCTCCAAGCTCAGCCAACGAGCCCTGGCCCTGATAAGGGGCTCAGACCTCCCCAACCTGACCCAGACCTCCAGAGGGCAGGCTGGAGCGGGGCCAGGTCCTAGTCATATCCTCACACCTGCTGCTCAGGTCTTGCTGACCTCAGGCCATGTGGAGCTATAGTCTTGGCACAAGGGATGATGAGGTCCAAAGGGCTCCTTCAGCCCTTCCGGCTATTTGTGAAAAGGGAGCCCCTCACGCCTAATTTCCTTGAGCAGGGGAGTTGGGCCTTTCTCCGGAGCCCAGGGCCTCCACCCACCTGGGCCTCCTTCAGCTTGGCTTCCAGGTCGGCCATGTCCAGGTGGCGGTAACGGTACTTGTGGGCCTTGCACAGCCGGATGCCGTCAATGATGGAGGCATGGTTCAGCTCGTCTGACAGGACTGCATCCTCAGGTGTCAGCAGAGCCTGTGGGGAGGAGCTCCTGTATAGCCACCCAGGAGTTCCCCTTCCCCATTAACCTCCCCCAAGGCAAAACTCTACCTCTACCCGGGTGCCTAGGGCCAGATGAAAACTTCAGGTCAGCACCAGGCCCCTCCCCCCTGCCCTCTAGTTTACATCGGCTGCTCTGTGGCACCGACACTCTGTCATGCTCCCCCAGCTGCCCGCCTCCGAGTCATCCACAGCCTCTACGTACCTCAAATAGGCCGGCATTGGCATCGAAGCAGCTGGGGTAGAGGATGGCATCCTCACGCTGGTGGAAACGGGCTATCTTGGCTTCTAGATTCTTGTGGATGCTCTAAAGGATACGGGCAGGTTGACGGTGAGTGCCTGTGGGCTTTGTGGGGCGAGTCCTAGAGGACCACTAGCAGACCCAGTGCAGAAGGCCTGGGGCCTCGGCCACACCCTTCCTTTGGCACCACACGGGTGACTCCTGGAGCCTTGGACTGCAGCAGCTGCTCCCGCTGTGGAGGACGAGGCCTGGAAGGTCTCGGGTCCTCGGTGGACCTTTGTGTCCCGGGGGGTCTGTCTAGAGTTTGGATTCTGAGTGATGCTGGGGTCAGAAGATATGTCTTCACATCAGACTGTCTTTTTCTCCACAGCAAAGAGGATCACATTAAGTAAGGCTATGTTTATTTGGGGCTGTAAGTCTTAGATTTGGGAGCTGTTTGGTCTGACTCAGGAGTTTTATTAGAAAGTAAATACATGAAAACCGAGTGTAAGCCAGGCAGTGGTGGCGCACGCCTTTGATCCCAACACTCAGGAGGCAGAGGCAGGTGGATCTCTATGAGTTTGAGGCCAGCCTGATCATATAGCCAGGATAGCTGAGGCTACACAAAGAAACAAAACAACAACAACAAAAAGAAACAAATAAAGGAAGGAGGGAAAAGAAAGAATGAAAGGAAA